CCCCAAGCTAGAACTACTACCTAAACTTCACTGGAATTCATTAGGATTTTTATTCTCCTAAAACTGTATTTGGCAGTTTTGCTAGTTGCTAAACTACATTTACTAAGCTCTGTCTAAAACACTTACTTTATGTACTGTTGTTGGAAACAGCCGGTTTCTGTGTGACATCTGCTTTTACATTGGAATAGCGAGAGCTTATGTGAAGCAAATGTAAGCAGTATGAATCATTACCTCCATCTTCCTGAGTTTTATTTTTGCAGTACCCTGTGCTGTAAGGCAGCAGTGTGCTATTTCCCCCATAATACAGATGAACAGTCGGCATTTGACTTGCTTGGTGTTGCAGGGGATATTTGAATTAAACCCAAATACCCCATCCTGCAAACTTTGTGTGATGATGTTATGTATTTTTAACCAGGCGTCAAAAGATTCAAGTCTTTTTGCCAGGAGGTTGAAAGTAGACATTTTAAGAAAAGCTTCATGCTTCAGATACAATGGAAATATATTTTAGTCACAAGCTGTTCTCTGAAATTCAGGGATACTGGAATTACCTACTAGTTGGCAGAGTGAAAACTAATACTGCTGAGATGGACATTAGTAGACTGGGTTGTCTTTTGAGTCCTGAGCTAGAGAGGTATGCATATAAAATAATCCAAAGATAAGCATGCACTATTTTAGAAGAGGTGATATAAATTGCACTGCATGTACACACACACAAAAATATCTCCCATAGCTGGATGACCCTGTCTGTAACAAAATACCAGGCTCTTTTGACCAGCCAGTGAAAACATAACATCCTTAGCCTCCTGACCTTACTTTAAAAATAACTTTGAAACATTTTGTTGATCTATAAAAGAACAACATAACATCTAACACCTATGAGTTATTGATCTCTTTTCTAAAATTACGGACCTCTAACCTAGTGGCTAATATAGCACTCAGAAAATTCGTTGCCAGGTGATATCAGAGGCAGCTGCCTAATCTGTGGGGACTGTCACTGGTTTGCCTGCAGTGGATATTAACCACTAATCAATTTACAAAATGACAATAAACAATTATGAAAACGGAATAGAAATCTATGGATCCCTGTATGAAAAGATAAATCTCTAAAACCTGGTACTCCTGTGAAAACATAGCACTTGCAACCTGTTGACCCAGTCAGGAAAGCATTTAAAAATTCACATAACTCCCATGGTAACATCCCCTTTCCCCAAGGCTGAAATACCAGGCTGGTAACCCTGGAGGACGTACCTTTTAACTAGGGCAAATCAGCTTTCCCTCTTGAAATATTACATGACATCTGTCAGGCCATTGGATGACCTGCAAGTAATTTAAAGAAATTAATGTCTATACCTTTGAGTTTCTTTCCTCATTACCAAAAAATGCACTGTCCTTCCCCATCTCTACCATTTTCAGTTATGAAATTAAGACTACTCACCTGCAAAAACTATTCCCTATGTTTAAAGCCACAAATACTCTGCACGTAATTGGACTCTGGAAATTCGTAGGGGATGGAAATAGCAGCCAGTATTATATTAACTGGACTAAAACTTGAATGATGTCCTGTGGGTACTGTGAAAATCGTCCTGAATTTACAGTGCCTTAGAAATGGCAGTGGGTGCAGAAAAGAGTACCCTGTACAAAACAGATTCATAAAGGACCCTATGTCTTAAAGTGGAAAGCTGTCACTTTAAATCATCTGGAAGTTGAATTAGCACATACTGCTGGAGATTAGCTGTCATTTATAAAGGTACTATCACAGCTTGAAATGCAAGAAAATGCAAGATATGAATGGTCTTCCTTCAAATTAGCTCAAAAACTGTAGAAAGAAGAGAGGTGTTTCCATTAAAAAAGGTAGCTTTTGCTAATAGTAGAGAATTCAGATACATGCTGAACTTGCCAGACTTCATTTAGTTTTATTTCTAAAGAGCAAATTGCAGTTTGCTTCAACAAAAACAAACAAATGCACCTCAGGATCATTACCTACTTTATCGTAAACAGGATGGTATGTTGAGGGAGGAGGGGCTTTGGTTGTTTTGGGCTGGGCGGGGGGTGTGGGTGTGTGTTGTTGTTTGTTTTTTGTTTTGTTTGGTTGTTTTTTTAATCAGTTTGCACAAGCTTGCTTTGTTCCTGGAGTTATGTCTCCTTATTACTTATCCTTTGCACAACACTAAGAAATAAAGGAGCTGTATCAGGTGGGCCCTGTCTTTTTTTGGAAAAGACTTTGGCTGCTTCTCAGTTACTGCATCAAGCTTAAAACTCCCCAGATAGAGTTAAAACTCTTTGTGGCCGTATGTCACTTGTGGGTTTGATGCAGGTTATTGCTGTCAGACTCATTGTCCTCTCAGTCCCATTTCCATGTGCTCAGAGCAGGCTTTTATGCCTATTCCAGTGCTCCTGGCCCATATTTCAGCCTCATTCTAATTACTACAAAGGCTAACTCACAAGGTTACAGCAGCTTTAACTTAGCATTAGATAAATGAGCAGGAGAGAACAAGGAAATTTCCTGGTTTAAACTAAACATCTTCCTTTGGTCCCCAAGCCTTCATTATGCCAGCCAAGAGACATGCATAGAGAACACATTCCTAAGGACAGGAGTCATGTTTGACTTCTTCACAGTAAAGATTTAAGCAAGGTGCTGTTAAAGCAGAGAGAAAAAGAATGCCAACATCAGGCACAATATGGTTTGGCTGATACTGTACTACCTGCTCTTGATGGTAAACACCACTCCAGGCATTCAGCTTTACAACCAGAAAATGACAACCTCAATATCCCATTATCCTCCTGAAATCTGATACCAATTTACAGCCTGAGGCAAAAAAAGAAGTTAACCTCAAGATTTACAGATCCAGCACAACAGGGCTCTGAACTTGGTAAGGGTCCATAGAGCCTGCCACTTTCATACAGATAATAATTTAATAAAGGCTGCCTACAACTACCTATTTTTCGCCTCCAGAAGCAATTGGAGAAACCAATGGCTTCTGTAACTTTTTTTCCCCTTTTTTCTTTCTTTTGGATAACAGCTGTTTGGCAGAACAGAGATGAGGGATGGGATTTTCTCCAGGATCATGACCCGGAGCTGATCAAAGAGGAGAAACGGGAAGAAGTGGAGGAAGAGATCAGAGTGCAGGTGTGCTTACAATAGTAAGAGGACACTAATAACGTGCATTGCCTGTGTATATTTCTCTACAGCTGTAAGAATTGGCCCTGGCATAGACCTTACCTCCTTCCAGAGTCTCTACTATCTGTTCTTTGCTTTAACCCTTGTTTAGCTGAACATTTATCTGAAGTGTGGTGGCAGAAGACTTAGATTCAACTGTGTTTGTCTGGATAGGTTGATGAATTGATGCAACAGAAACTGGAGAATCTCAAACTGGCTGTGGATGGAGAGAAGAGTGACAAACGGAAAAAAGGAAGAAAAAGTGAAAAGGTAAGAGCAGCAAGTTGGGAGAATTCAGGGTAAATCTTAGTTTTCTGCCCAGATACAGTGGTATTCAGTGCAAACCCTAGTCTCACAGATACCAATATGAAAATGTCCACCCTAAACATTCACTGACTCTCGTGTCAGAAGCATTTAAAAAAAAAAAAAAATCTATTCACCTGTGGCTTTTTTCAGGGCCTTTTCCTTTGGCTATTGTTACTCCTTAACCTTTATAAATATTGCTTGGGACAAGTTAAACTATTCCAGAGATAAATCATTACAAGAAAGATCAGATTTTCAAGAGGGATACCACCCTTCTGAAATCCTCTGATCCAATCAAACAGAAAAATCCAAGCAATCCCTCTCTATTCAAGATAGGTTCAAATTAATACAGCCTTCCAAGGAAGGCATGGATCTGGGTGCCAGTAAGTTTTCCAGCTGCTGGCTGTTTTCCTCCTAAATCAGGACTGGTTAATGTGTTTCAAAACTGTACACCAGAAAAATTCACTTTGAATATTTTGGCGTAACCTTTCATTTATCTCTAACACATAGATCACATACAGCCAGATGCACACTAATTATGTTACTACTTACTGTTGAAGGGTTTGGGAACTTGCAATTAAGCCAAATTTATTTAAGCATATAAAACAGGTTAAAGACATACAGTATTTTTAATGTGTGTTATCCACTGAAACACAGCACACATCATGTTCACATCTAGTTTCACAACATTACCATATGCAGAGTTCCACAGCTCATGGCTCCCCGAATTCCTTACCCAAGCATTTAAAGTATAGATCACGTCAGTGCAAAATGACTCAAAGCTTACAGACTCTACCATTCAATCAGCAGATCCACTTAAATTCTCAGGGAAAATACCCAGCCCTAATCTCATGTTGTATTTCATGTCTATAATCCTTTTAGCATGCAAATACTTGCTGTTGCTGTACTTCTACTCAAATTACCTTTAAAAACACTCTTCCACCTGACAAACGTGCAAGGGCAGTTTAATAATGCAAGACTGGAGTGATTCTGAAAACTGATACCAATTGGATTGCTAAATCTGTTTCAGAAATAGGGAGGCTTAAGATATACAGACAAAATATTAGAACAATCTTCCCAGAGCTGTCAGGGGCAGATCCATTTAGATCAGCTGGTAAGAACTGCTTCAAAGTGTCACACTGGAATTAGAAAGCTTTATGTTAGTGGTTGTTTGCTTTTCCCCCTTCAATATATAGCATTGGAATGATTTTGGGTGGAGGGAGGTTATTTAACTTTTGTTTTCCTAAGTTGTGCCGGTAGCTTGAGAGAAGGGGGGTGGGGGGGGAAGAGGGGAAAGAAGTACTAATTAAGTAATACAAGTTCCCTAAAGAAATTATCTGGTAAAAAAAAAAAAAAAAAAAAACACCACCAAAAAACCCACACCCACAACACCCACAACAGAGTTCTATTTTAGGGGTGGGAAATGGAAGGAGATATCCAGTTTTAGTCAAAACACATTTTCCCTGTGCAAAACTATTTGAAATTCCAATTGGCATTGGCAAAGGCTTTTTCTATTTAGTGTTTGCATAAATATCTCAGTCCATAAACCAATACGGTGTGTGCATACCTGAGCACACAGACTTCAGATCTGCTTTATGAAAATGTGGCCTATATAACAAGAATAATATGAGCCAGAAAGCTTTGGAAGCAGCTTGTTGATTTATTATTCATCAAGAAATCCTCTAGTTTTTTGAGGTATGTGTTACCACATCCTAGGTCCCATGTGTCTCTCCCCCAACTATGGAATGTGCAATAACAGTGGGTTTGGATTCTCATTGTGGGCATGAACACATCTGCAGCACAATGTAAAACTTCTCCCCACCCGCCCTTTGCACTAAGACTAGTAGAACTAGTACAGGATAGATAGTACAGGGTGTACAGCATAGCTGTCTTCAGCCTTTTCAAGCACACCTTGAGATAAGTAGTTTACAACTTAAAAAAAAAACCTCTGACAAGTCTATATTTAAAAAAAAAAAAGTAAAAATCTGACTGATCCACAGGAAATAATTTGAGTTTGAAACCCTGTTTGGAAGTCCCTTTTGAGGGAAATTCAGCAAGGATATTTTAGAATTGGACTCTGAAGGGAAAGCATTAGGAAGCTAATTGCTCCCTCCCAGTGAGTGTTTCAGATGTTTCAGGTCTTAGATAAACAAAATTTAACAGCTCCAGGTGTATGCATAGGCCACTCCTTTATTTCCATGCACTGTACTTTCTAGGCTGAACTTTATCACTGGGCTCCCAAACCTTCAAATACCACTTAATACTAAAAGCTGACACTTAACCCTAATCAAGAATTACTCTTACTGCCCCCGAGATAAAAAGCCCATTTGCCACCTTTGTGGAAGAATTATTTTGGGTGGAAGGGCAAATTGCTTTTCACATTACAAATGGGTCTCCAGACCATTCGGCTTGTCTGGAAATATTTAAACTAATTAGATTGCACCTAATATGCAACAAGCCACACTGCTATCATTTGAGGGACATATCCTGTGCCTCTATTCATGTTGGAAGCATCTCACCCCACAGACTGTCCCACTATTATTTGTCCTTATGGTCCAGCATTGGTATAGAGTACAAGTGCCCTTGTTAAGAGACACACTGTGCTGGATTCTCATTGCTCCAGATAGCTCCCGATCTGATGACTGTCACAGGAGGGGGGGATGAGGATACAACAGAAACAAAGGAGTGTTGTTCAGCTTTGCTGTAAATTGCCTTTTTCTTCACTATGCACAGTGGCAGCTTGTCATCTGCCCAGCCATGGATCAGCAAGCCGGGATTGTAAGCACTTGTGTGAAAACAGACTGCGGAAAGATTTGAATGGAAATTGCTTCCTAGTGAGGGATATGGCATTGATGTCTAGGAAGGCTAGCAAAGAGACGTCAGCAGGCCTAAGTCCTCACCCAGCCTAGAGAAGCCTGTTATAAAGCACCTGAAGTGAAAGAGAAAGGGCTAGCATTTTCCAAAGTATTTGATTTCTAAAAAGTTGGTGGCATTCTTGTGCCAGCACAAACTTTTGAGTGAAATGCTGTTGTTCTGAGTCCACCCCTTTCTGCTGACAGCCCAAGCTTCTGATTTGGGTGGCTCAAGACAACCCACCAGCTTTACAAATGTTTCTTCTAGACGGATGCCATGTACCCAACAGGCTGAGCAGCCAAGGGTATTTCTCTTGGGAATCTGCAGCCAAGCAAACCACCACAGACCTGGCTTCTTTAAACTGACTTTCTACCCAACATAAGAGTTGGCAGATCGGTTCTCTACAGTTACTGACCTGGAAGTTACATCTGAGTACTTATCAGAGTGCTTTTTATCAGGCCCATTGTGCTGCTTTTCCTGCGCTGCTTCCCCAAGGATTTGTTTCCGATCCAACTGTAGGTAAGGCAACCCATTGCAAGTGAACACACCCCCACATACACAAAGGCATGGCCAGAATTCAGAAGAAACAGAAAGAGGGGACATGGGATCTTAAGTGTGTAAAAGTTGCTTCTGAAATAGGCCTTGCTAGCATCTCAGTGCAGCTTTGGATATCCCTTTTTAATGCAGCCAGGCAGAAACAAAGAAAACCACAAGAGGTAAAGTATAGCAATGGCCGTGACAAAAATATTGACATCAGTCGGAAGACTTGATAAGAGCAAAGCCATAGTGAGCAAGGCCAGAAGGCAGGCTGGGTCAGAATTGAGAAAAGGCGGGGTTTGAGGACAGTGATTCACAATCCCTGTTAGATTTTCTGTAGCTGGTGGAGATTAGCATGCAGAGCTCTCAGCCAGCCGTGGGGGCTGTAACTTCTGTGGATGACATAGCTAAATCCAACAGGGATTACAGATCAGAGCCCCTCATATAGCAAGAGCTTAATAATCAGTGGGAACATCTTTGTCTAAGGACTTTTTCAGTACAAATATCAGAAGCTGCTCTCTATATCTTGGCATTGCCAGAAGAGAATTCTCAACCCTGGTGCAAATCTGCGCTTGCTCAGCCTCCCATTCAAGCATCACACATCATCCAAGCAACCTACTCAAACACTTCGTATACTGCTGCTTATACTGCATGCTTATATGTCATTTCCCTTAAACTACAGGAATACTTTACTGTTGTTATTTTTCCATGTACTTGGTGGCAGTAGCTGCAGACAGATAGTGGCAGCAGGATTTGTATGATCACAGCCAAAGGGGTGACACAGATCTTGCAGTTCCAACATGGAACAGTTCCCCCAGTGATATCCTCTCCTTTCTGGTGCCAGAGACACTCTACACTGGAATCTGTGCTCAAATCAGGTCTGTGTTTGCTTGTAGCAACCTCTGAGCTGCTCAAACCATTTTCATGAGCCCACACAGTAAGACAAGATACCACACTGAGCACAGAAGACAGTCTCCTGTCATCTGCCAACTAATAACTAATGCAGTTCACTACATGTGACTTATCAAAGCAGAAAATATCCAAGTAAATGGATGGCTAAACAGAAGCTAGACTGACATTTCAGAGATAGAAAGAAAGAGATTTCCATTATAAATTATGAGTGTGTTCACATTCATTAAACATTATCATTTTCTAAATAAAAGTAGTTCCCAGTAAGACATTTTGGAGGAAAGCCATTGTCTACAATTCATATTTCCCCTTATCGCATCTCAGTGTTTGCCAAATTTCCCATAAATGCTAATGTTAATTAGGAAAACACATTTTTCCCCTGCATAGTTCATTTTTGGTTTGCTCTTGAGTTATTTTATTGGTGAAGCTGCCTTGGGGACAATACCAGTTGGCCAATAAATTCAACATATGCTTAGTGTCTTTACATAGGTAGAAATGAGCTTTTCTTCCCAGTCAGACCCCATGATATGTAACTTCCAGCTTGTTGGAAAAAAAGGTTAAAGAGAGAAAGCTGGAGGAACACAAGAAAAACTGCTGACAGTGGCAATATTTCCTCAGTTGTTAAAACAGCATGGCATATGCTTTGTTCTTCCCATTCTTTTTCTTTAAAACAAAACCCCACTAGCACATTCTAAAGGCTATTTGCTGCCAAGCCTATTTATGTTAAGAAACCTGAGGTGTAGTTCTGCAGAAACAGAGTTGTTTGCATTGTTCTAATCCAAGATTGTAAAACATCACCTTTTCCCAGATAGCATATCCATATAGACTTCTGGGTTTAATTTATGTTTTCATCTAGATTATCTTTGTTGCATTGTAAACACTAACAGGTGATTGAACCATAGGTTGTTTAGATTGTGACTGTCTATTTGTGACTATCGTGACTGACTAAAATTGATGTATTTATGTATTTCTGAATATTGCTGATCCATTCTTGGAAAAACCCAGCATTTTCTAGCTAATTGGATGGGGGGGGGGGTGTTTGGTTGTTTTTTTTACTCAACAACAGAACCTGTAGAGCTCTGCGTAAGTATTCACTGTTAAAAAAAATAAAGTAAATGACTGTATTCCCAGGGAAACAAACATAAACTTATGGAAAGAATAAGCTGTCTTGATCAACTAAGCATTTAAGCACATGCCTAAATTCAAGGATTGAAGAAGTCCCATGGTGCATAAATGTCACTGTGTAAATAGTTCCACTGAACTAATTCTGAAGTGCTTTGCAGGACTTAAGTATGGACAACAGTGGTGGGCACTAACATGGATTAATGATGCCTCTCCACTCCTAATTATCCCTAACCATATTTATGGCTTGTGAGCTGTAAATGGAGGGGCTTAACATTACTTGTTCTCATATTTTTAATTTATTTTTTCCATTTTTTTTTTCAGTACCTAAAGAAACTAGTCACACAAGTCATAAAATCTTCCCATCGTGAAATTGTGGTGAAAATACCAAGAGAAAAGCGGGTCATGTTTTTCTGACCTCTTCAAGCTTCTTCCCCGAGGCATTAGGAAAGAAAAGGCAGAAAGGGTATCTATGGATAGGAGGCTAGCCAGAGGCTCAGAAAGGTTGGTTTCCACTCAACCACAGAGTCGTGCTCCAAAACGGAAGGAGAGAAGTTTTCTCTTGGGGCAAATGACCCTGGGATTCTTTTGTATGCAATCTCTACTGGAAAGAGCAGGACTGATTGCTTCGAAGTACGATGCTCTGGGCACTCATAGGGGAGGTGGTGGATGCAGGTGAGGTATACAAGATCCCCGAGCAGCTATATTCTAGAAGGAACCAACAGGCACCAGGTTACTTCATGCAGAGTCCAGTTCAAGGTCAGCTGTTGCAGGATCTGCATGAGATTTGTAGGTTGGACACAGCTCCTCAGCCTAGGGGGCTTCACCTCTCCCACACCTTGATGAGGCATTTATTAATGGGAACATCTCCTGTGCTTTTATAAATGGGGACATGAGTTCCTTCCCTCAAGATATAATTTTTTTCCTTTGGATTCCTTCAGTAGCAAAGCCCACATTCAAACACTGAAACATTTGCTCTTCTGGCCCTCACTTTGCTTCAGCACATTCAAAAAAATATATATAAAAAATATGTATGTGGTAATGTCACTAATTCCAGCTTGGTTTTGTGGTCCTCAGAAAAAAAAGACGACCATGAGGAAAAAGATACCCGAGATGGAGGAAGATCTAACTCCTGACAGGTAAAGAGAGGACCTGTTTACTTGAGATTCAGACTATGAGACTGCATCCTCTTTGCGTTAGATATGCTGTCAGCCCTTTTAGTTTTTAATTACACAAGGAGCATCTCAACATTGCTACGCTAACCAGCATTGAGAGACCTACAATAAATAAAACCTCTTTATTAACAGCTATAAAAATCCATAAAAAGCCTAGATCATAAAAAAAAAAAATCTCTCACAAACTTGACGCACATGCACTTTAGCTAAAACCTTTTTTGCATTCTCAGTGAACACTACAACCTTCCCGCTGCCCCTCCCCAACCGATGGCTTCACAGCACCACAAATGACAGGGCAACAAAACACTGCTTTAATTGTACACAGCACAGACCTTTTTTTTCCCCCATCTTCAACAATGCATACAAATTAAAATATCCGTTCTGCAGCAACACACCACCAGAGCCAGTCTCCATCAACTTCAGTCAGGTTAATTCCGGTATGCAGAGCTAAGCACATGTAACATTTAGGCAGGGTATTGTCCCTGTTTGCCATCCTCTCTGCAGGTGCAGAAGCACCTGGCAGTTTTGTTGACTGTCAGATTTTCCATCCCAGCTAAAGCCTGACAAAGGACGCTGCAGACAGGCCCCTGTACCTCATAAATCACCCTTCACATCTTAGATAAAATGTACACGTCATTAAATCAGTCTTATTTATCAATAAGAGTTCTGGCAGATCTGGCAATTTGTGTATCCTTGCCCTTTTAAGTACCATTATTTTATCTGGAGGATTTGAGAAGATTTCTTCTTTTGACATTACATTTTCAGTGAGCTCATGATGCATTCACTGATAATCCAGCCATTTTTCATCTGTACGTGTAGTACAGACACCTAAGTAGAAGTATCACCACTGGGACCTGTTGACCCAGCAGCAGTGCAGGGCAGGAGCAGACCCAGCTCCTAAAAGAGCAGGGCTGGAAAACAGCATGAAGACACACACAAATCGATCGCTGCAGGAGGAAGCACATGGGATTCACCCCACAAATCCATTCATACAGGATATGCACAGCAAGACCTGGACCAGATCATTTGGGTGCTAGCACTACACAATCAGTCAATGATGTCTTTACCTGCTTTAAAATAAATTTAAAAAAAGCTCTCCAAGCAAATATTTAAAATAAACTTGTCGTGGATTATAACAGAGCATGACCTCTCTTACAAGAACAGTGCCAAAGTTGAACAAGTATGCATGTATTCTGGGCTTTTAAAATTACTCTCGCACATGCCTGCTTCTTATAAACAAACTTAATACAATGTACAGCCACTTAAGAACACAAGCTTTTTAGTAGCTGGCTTTTAATCAGTGTTTATGTGGCATTTTGGCTCTAATGCTTTGCTCTTCCCTGCTGAGCAGGGAAGGAGGAAGTATTTCAGAAATAACCAAGGGAAGCTCAGGTTCATCTCATTTTTGACATGGCGGAGGGAGCACAGGGGGCTTTCGTCAACAGAGACTGATCACATCATGCTTACTTGGAGGAGACTCAGGGCATGCATCATTAAGCTTGCACAGTAAAAATAAGACAGGAAAAGTAGAAGTCACACTCCCAAGAGAACTGTCAGTTTAGTCCCATTCTACCTTCTGCTTGTTTTATGGTGCGTACTCCAACATAAAAACACTGAAAATGCAAGCAAGAGTCGGAGTGGCAAAATCAACGTCGTTGAAGGTGCGTTAAATTCTGTATTTCTTTATTACTACTCCTATGTTAATTGTGCCACTAACACTGCATAAACATAAAACTTCCCAGCTGAAATGGAAAAAGACTGCAGGTCTCAAATCATATATATGGTTTTATTAGCCAGCTGAGAGTTACTATTAAATATTTTTATTGTAGCAATACCAGAATGTCCCAATTAAGATAAGTGACAGAGACAAAAAACCTCAGATATTGAAGGGAAAGGAAGTGAAAAGTGCACAAACAGTGAAAGACCTAGAAAAGTTCAAATCAATATTGTTTACACTAACAATATAAGAAGAATTTCTAACAGGCTTATTCATTTTATGTAATTCTTGAAACAGTATCAATCTGTAGAACCCAGTGCCAAATATGTAATTGAAATTAATATTTAGGTAGAACTCCAAACGAGAGACTAAGGAGAATATCCACACCAATAGAAAACTGGATACAAGTGTAAGCATGTTAAATCCTCAATTATGGGGAGCTATTTCCAGCCACTAATGGAGATAGGAAGAAACCGTTCCACTGGAGAAGTTATGCCACAGTTTCCACTGTGTTTTTCCCCCATCCTCCTTTGGCCAGCATCACCCTAACACTGCAGTAGATGGACCACCGATTGCTCCAACTGAGTCATTCCCAGCATGTTCCTGACAAGATGAGGCTGTCTATTGCAAACAGAATGAATTCCGGGAAGAATTAATGAATTACTACTAATTGGAGAGTGAAGTGAATAGGTATAGTAGTGTTAGGATTGCTATTACTATATAATTTAAAAATAATTTCCCAGTAATTGATATTAATGAATGAGTCTATTACACAAGTCAAAACTGATCTTGCATCACCTGGAAATGGCTAATGGAACTAGTGTGAGAGGGAGCCATGCGGTTCGTGAGGTAATAAAAGAGATTCCTTGCCGTAATGCAGAAAACTGTACTTATTGATTTCATATTGATGGCACTAATCACCTTTACTTCTGAGCTACAAAATACATTTATACAGCTGAGGAAGCATAAATAACTCTGAAGCTAGTTCAGTTATTGAAGGACTAAACTTTTACTTACAGTTCCCTAGAATTTCTGAGTGATGTCTCTTGCCCATAGGACCATCGATTCTCTGTACAGAGAACTAGTAGAAGAAGGATTACTCATAAAAGCCAAGACTGTGAATCTCTCCGATTATGTTGGTAAAGTACACATTTTACAGCTAATACGGTTTTTAGTCTCACCAAACCTCCAGCCCTTCAATGTTCACTGACCCTTATTTCCAGTCAAGAATGAGTTAAAGAGTAATTAAAGTCGGAAAGTCCTGAAAGTATAATATCTAAAGCCACGCATGCAAATCAAGTCTGTTTCTGCAGGATGCTTAGTACCTTTCACTTCTGCTGCTGAAACCAGGACCTGTTTGTAGAGCTGGTGCTTAGCCCCAAGCACTAACACCTGGAAGCCTTGAATGGTTTTGGATGTCACAAGCCACTCTGAGATGGAACCAGGACATCCTTTAAGGAGCACTGGCCAGGCATGGGCAAGACAGTGCAAGTCTATCAGACTAGAGGTCATAATCCATCCAGAATATTTCGCAAACAGCAAAAATCATACCTTCAGCATTTGTTCATTCAGCAGAGAAGACTCACCCCCTTACCTCCACCTCCCTGACAGCCCCTGAACTTTGAGCAACACTTCAAGGCATATCTGGCCCTTGATTTGAGTAAGATGTGGCTCTGCCTAATTCTGCATTTCATAGTCATCTTGCCCAGTTTCTCTTACCTGCAGCTGCAGACATGCTTGCCCATGCTCTACACAGAGAAAAAAAACCCTACTTGCAGGCTGCACAGGGGTCTGACGCCATCTCCAAAAGCATTTGGTGATGTACAGTAAAGTCACAGCAACTTTAGCAGCAAAAAAAACCCCAAAATTCAGTTGTTTCAAATGCCACCATTATCTGAACTTACAGACATCCAGAAGCCACAATGCCACTGGCTGTTAGTGCAATATGTATCTGAGACAGAAAAGCTGGATTCTCGTACATCACCTTTAAATGCTATGTTTATATAAACTCTTAGAAGCACCAATTACCGCCTTTAGAATCTTTGCCCACTCTGTTAAAGCCTGAATTAACAAGTATGCCATCCATTTTAGGCTCATTAAAAATCACAAAGTAAAATATTGGAAAATTTTCCTTATTCCTTCATTCACCCAACCAGTACCATCAAGGTCACTTTTGTCCCACAAACATTCCCTACCACAGGTGTTTTTAAAGCACACCTTAGCCAGTGGATAATAATTAACAGCTGGTAACATCCAACTTGGAAGCAGACTGAGATTGCTTTGGGCCATCTTCCCTTGACCCTGAGGTTTGAAGCTTTGGCTCCTCTGCAGCAGAGCAACACAAGGGCTGCTCCAAATTGCACAAGAAATACTCACTTCCCAGCAGCAAAAGATGTTAGGCGCAAAAGTGTGGAGTCTAGTGATATTCACGTGGCTGCCTACACCTATGCCAAGTACTCCCACGTGTTCCAGCACAGCTGCTGGCCCATGCAGACCGAGCAGCAAGGAGGTGGCTCAGACTGTTACAGCCAGTTTTTCCCCACTCAAAACTCAGTCATGCTTCTTGAGCTAAAAGAAAAAGACACAGAAAGCATTTAAAATTGCCCTACGATTTGGACCTAACTTTTCTTTTAAAAAAACGTCCCCCTTTAAGGTTCTAAGCAGTCAAAGCCTGCAGAACAATAAGTCTTCTACTGCACCGTTACAGGGCTGAAGTCTAAGGAAGGTCACTCACTCCCAATTCCTGGCAAAAGGACAAAGAGTGGAATTGTGCTACACAGCGAGTAAAGGCACCAAAATGTCCCCCCTCTATGACAAACTGACATCACTGAACTAATTTTCTTGGTGACCTTATCTAAATTAGTCAGAGAATATCCACTGTGATTTATGTTCAGTTGCAATTAAACCCTTTGATGCCTTCTAATTAAATCTGTGAAGATTAATTTCTATCCAGTTTTTTTGATTTCTCCTTAAATAAAAGATAAAACCTGAAATGAATTTTATTCTTCAGAGGGGAGGGGGCAGTTGCACCAGGGCTTGCCTGTCTTTTTGCCCCCAGATTATAACTCCACTTTTTCTCTTAACCATTGCTAATTTACCTCTGCTCCAGAGAGCTCTAGTGCTCTCCCTTTTTATCTCCAATAAAACATAATATACTATTATTTTTCAATAATATTCACCATAACAACATGTATTTTATGCTAAAAAATTACCAACTACATTCTCACAACTAGTTTTCTTGCTGTGGCCCATCCTTCTGCATCTTTGTTCTCTAATACGTCTTGTATATGGGCTTTGACAGGGCAAGCAATGTGATTATGGCTCTGTAACAAGAGCTGAGGCAAGATTAGATCGTTTCAGTTCATGTCTGGGACTTTTAGTTTTCTTGGGTTGTTTTGTGGAGGGTTTTTTGAACAAAAAAGATGAACTGCAAAGCAAGGAGCCCCACCAAATTAGGTGACACGCTTAAATGTCCAACATAGTGAGAAGGTGAGATGTGATGCAGCCAGGGGAAACACTTGTTAAAATGTCTTTTCCCCCTTTTTGAAATCCTTTTGATAGAGCGTGGTTCACTGGGATTCCAGCCCTGCAAAATCGCAAATCTAGAAATCCTTTGCCAGCAGTGTGATTTATGGTGCTACTAATGATTCTTCTCCACAAAGTTTCTTTAAAAGGTTACTCAAGACGGACTGCTCTGCTGAACGCCTTCTACAATCTGGAAGGGAAAGTCCATGGTGTGTTTAACTTCATTTTCCTTTGCAGTGCACCTTTCAAATTTCTCAGGGCCGCATTCCACAACAATATTGCCCTGTTTGAGTCCCTCTCCCTTGACGGTACTGGGTTTGCTGAGAGCATGTTGTATTGGTATTCTGTGGTAGTTTTTCATTGCTTGAGTTATGCATTTTATAACAATGCACTGTCACATTTATTAAGACCATGCTTCCTCCCTACAGGCGAGTACAGCTATCTGGGGACCACACTTCGTCAGGTAGATATAGAGCCAATGCCCTCTCTCGCAGATGTCAGACAGCTAATAGCACTGTATGGAATATTGCCATTAGGTAAGAGCACAGCAAAAATTACTACAGGGCAGAATACAATGGCTTTGCTTCCTGTCAGTAACATGCATTTTTACTGGCTTTGACAGTGCTTGATTAATCGTAATCTAAAGCATTTTGCAGTATAATTGTTTTTCAATTAAGCCTTCTGAGTGAAGATCACATCATTTTAATAGCGCATACAGGAGCTTGCACATGCTATTGTCAGGTATTGCATTTCCCTACCATCTCTGTTTGCATGTTAACAGTTTGTGAATGGCAGCACATAAAAGGAAATCACTTGGGAAAGATAATAGCTAAAACAAGCTCCAGCGATCAAAATTAATCAAGTTAAGAGAAGGGCTAAGGTTGCAATTTACCTTTTACAAGCTGGCTAATGTTACTCAGTACTAAACAATGCAATCATTTAAGGAATTAGTCTGAATACATTTTGTACATCAGAGAGAACTTTTTTTAAATGCCCTTGCCATTTTAATGCCAGACTTAGCCAATATCTAACAAGGCTTTGCTGGATCAGGTTGTTTGCTTTTAATATAAAATCTATCCCATATTTTACTTGGGAACAGTATTAAGCCAAATGCTAAAGATTGCAAGAAGTGCCTGTCTCAGGGGTTTCTACTCATACTTCACTTGCATCCTGTTCCATTCTTGATTGGATTTCAGGGAGATTTTTAACTAGGCATATCCTCCCCCAGCCTGTTTCCTTGTCCACTCATCCCCTTTATAGGGCAAAATAGCTGACATCTCCCTGCCTCCCATTCTGGCAGATAGAGCAGAGATGACACAGAGCTTCTGCTTTTCCCTCCCCTTTGCGTGCCTTCCAGAAAGACCAGTGCTCAGGCTTTTCTGTACGCACACACTCTGTGGCTCTCCTCGGGCATTTCCTGGCTCACCCTAAAAGCCCCAAAGCAGGCTCGATGTGTTGGAGAAAGCTCAGGACAACAGTGCACAAGTCTGCTTCATCTGGGTTTCGGGAAGAGAAGAGTGCTCGTTCTGCCCTACAGCTCAATTTGAAGAGTCAGGTTAAGAAAAGGGATGCTAGCAGCACCCCTGCCTCCAATCTAGATAGGGTCTTCCCATTTAAAACACTCTCAGCTGGTTTGTGGTAAACCCTCAGGGTTTGGCTGCAAGTTTGACCACAATCAGCTGAGAGAGCTCAGCACTTGTCCCTGTTCTGCACTGACTGCAATGTGGTATTTCACATGTAACTCCTCCAGGGTCACGTTTTAACACTACCTAATCTACTGAAATCAAGCCCCAAGACGCCCCCAAGGCAAGAGGAAAGAGAATCCATACATTTTCTGCTGTTTATACATTTGGCTAAAAATGCAATCCAGGGAGAAGAGACCCTGGACTATTTAAACAAACTGAATATATTTGCAATAGCAGTTTGAAAAATGCCTCTGAGAAAAACAAAACAAAAAAGGAGAGAAAGAAAAGAAAGATCTTGCATAAGCCAGAAAAAGCACAGGAATGGTTTCACCTTTTGGGTGATATGTTATGGATGACATTTTATTTCATTGGTCTCAGAACTAGTTAATCATTACATAATCGTCTATGTGTAGAAGTGAAAGTTTTTCTCAAAGTAGTCACCTGACAGCAAGGAAAGCTCCAGCTAAATGGCACCGAGAAAATTATAAGCAGCTGAAAGGAGAAATAATAGTAGAAGATATACTTCATCTTTAACCACAGAGGAGTCTGCTGCTCCCCTCATAATAAATCTATGTGTAATAGTAATAGATTGGTATGGAACGACCAAATATTAATAAAGCCTGGGCGGCTGACAACTTCACTATATCCTGCACAGTGCTGAAATAATGGCATTCATCTTAGCACTCAGTTCACTGTCATTTATTTGGGACGTTACACCATTAGGACACAGATAGGCAGCCTGATTGGATTTGGTTTTAAATACCATTCTTGGGGAACCAAGCTGTCCCCCTTAACCTGGAGAACTTTTCCAGGCTAAGCCATAGCTCCCTCCACAGCCCATCACCTTTGAGGCCAGTTTCCTCCTCTAGTCCCGTAGTCTGATGAGCCTGACCAGTCTCAAAGACCTTCAGACGTAGTGGATGCTTACACAGATTTTCAAATCTGACTTTATAACAACCACCACTACTGGCACAGGCTGTTTTTAGGCATCAAGGCAATGATGTTACTGGACTACCAGTGGGTATGGATAAAGCATTTGACATTTCCTGTTACTTCCATCTCTGGAGCTTCACTTAATTCATACAGCAACAGACCTGCAGGGAAAACAAGTTCTATCACCATCAACCACCTAAATCTCTCTCTGTGGTTCTGTTTTCACAACACAGGCATTTCTGCCAGGCTTTCTCAGGTGATGAAGGATATTTCATACAGCCCATAATGAATTTACCTGGAGCAGCCATAGAGACAGATTTAGAAGTGCTGAGCAGTCATCGCTGCTGGCAGAGCAAGTGCAGCATAGCAACCCTGGCATTTGCATTTACTCACCCAAATAAAAAGAAGGTAACAGAAAAGGATCCACCTTCTCCTAGCAGTTATGTTATGCCTGCTCTGCAACATGCATCTGCCATGTTCCAGACTGGGGAATAACATTGGCTCCTCTGCACATGAACTAACACCACACTCAGCAGGCGCATGTAGAGGGGATATCAGCAGTGAAGGATTTTGGAGCAGAGCTAGCCTAAGTGACAACAGTCAGAGTCTCCAATGCTCAGTGAACAGCAATAACATTTAAGAGGAAAAATTACCCAAAAAGGGAAGTGCAGGCAGAAGTTAAAGGAAAGAAAATAAAACACATGGTAACATCTGGTTTCAAAATCACTGACAAACACAGCTCCAACAGATAGTCCCATTAGTTTGTTTTCTTTAAAGATGGGGAAGCTGGAAAGTATCATTCCAGACAGCAGGAGGAAGGAATTCTCCTAGTCCTAGGTGCAACATGAGTCTACTACTCCCTTGTCCTATTGCAGAAAGTGAGGACCTGCTCTGACAACAAATGCAAAGGTTAAAGCCACAGGTACATCTCTAACTCTACCTCTGCCTGACAGCTGAGGGAGTTTACAGCTGCTGTGTAACTGAAGGCAAGCATCCCCGTGCAGAGCACCAGGCTTGTCTGTACACATAGCCACCAGCAGCAGTTCCATTTCAGTGCTCTTATCTTGTGTCCGTCCTCAAAAGTTTACCAATGACTTACATGTCTCTTAGCTCACATAGCTGTAGGGCTGAAGTTTGCCCATCAGGAGGTGCAAATAAGGGAGGTTGAGTTTTGCTACAAACAGGGATGTTAACTCAAATGTGCCACAGCCACAGCTTTAGTTATACAGAATTGAACTCAAGAGCACTTATGCCATATTAAGGAAACAATGAAATCACATTATAATTTATTTACCATGAAGAAAAAAAGGAAGAATCATTCCATTACCTTTATGGCAGACTCAAATGAAAGCAGTAATACTGCCTTATGACTTTTTACAGGTTCCCAAACAGTCCATGAGAAGGCTCCTGTGGTGAAAGCCTTGTTACTAGCTGGACCCGCTGGTGTTGGAAAGAAAATGCTGGTCCATGCCATCTGCACAGAAACAGGAGCCAACCTCTTTGATTTATCTGCTTCCAACATTGCTGGGAAATATCCAGGCAAGAATGGCCTGCAAATGATGCTTCACATGATTCTCAAGGTACTGTGTTTTGTGTACTTCTCTGCAAAGTTTGTTCAGTTGTTCACATCTTTTGTGGAACAACTAGGGAATTGAATTGTAGTTCCTCCATACCAAGGAGCACACGCACCAGTCATACGAGGGCAAAGCTGCCCAAGGCCCAAAGGACTGCCACCCCAATTTGAAATTCCCTCCCTGCTTTCAAGTTTTCAAAACCACTTGTTGACAGCCAGTGTGTGTGCACCGCTGTAGGGGATTTAATGCCCTTTGAGAAATCACTCATAGTAGCCATATTTTTCACATTAACATTTGTGCAAGCTTTGTGTTACCTTGAATATGGAAAGCATCATAGATAAAGAAAATTCTGTTCTCTGTTTATATGCACATCAGTCAGGAATGCTTGCCATGCAGCATTTAATCAAATACTAGACTGGGGGTGGTCAAAAATTTCCTCTCTGGGACTGTTGCTGTAAACCAACTCTCCCCTGTACTGCTCTCTGTTTACCTATCAGCAAGCTTTTCAAAAGAGGGAATCCTACTTCAGGATTACATTAACAGAAATGTATGAGAAGTCTGGAAATGAAAGAAGGCATATGAACTGTGAAGAACATATCCCAAATCCTCTTTAGGAAAACGACACTATCCTGGCAGGATTTCTTCCACATTTTAAGTCCTCAGCATTTCTGCTAAGGAAGGAAGCTGGTAAACATTTCCAGACAAAATACTCTTAGAAAGAAAAAACACAGCACATACACTAGAAAAAGCCAAATACAGTATTTTTTCCAGTGCCAGAGGCCTACTAAAAGACTGAATTCAAACTGGCCTTCCCTGGGATTTATCAGATGTATTTTATTAAATCCAATGTTATAGCAGATTTTGCGACAGGTGGCTCCATCCCCAGAAAAGACAGGTTTCACAGTTAAAAGCAAAGCAATCCCCAAGGACCCCATTTCTTGCTGGTCAGAGCAGTGCCTAAGGAAAAGCAACGGTGCTGTGATCAGGCACCTTTGATGCCGTAACACTAACACTGGGTCTAGCACTCCCTGACACAAGCTAGTGCCATTAGACTGAGCTAATACTCCCTCTCCTCTGCACATTTCACCCTTCTCCACTTAGTTTCTCTGCCCTCATCAATAGCAAAGCACATGTCTGGCTGCAGGCACAGCGCACACACCATCCTTTCCATCATTTAGTCCCTGCTAGAGCACGAGGCCTTTAAACACAGGAGAAAGGAGGGCAGCCTTTTTACTCCTATAGAAGGTTCCAGCTGAAGATATTAAGGTTTTTTATGTGTACATGCATATATAACATATATACAATAACTGAAACACACATAAAATGTGTACGTATCTATACACACTAGACGTGTAAGTATATATACACACATTATGTATATATGTACATAAGTCTAGATATGGGTATATAAAAACCTTACATTTTTCCACATTACTTAAAAACAAACCTTATCCAATACCTCCCCCAAAATTATGGGGAGTGGTCCAAGTTTACTTCTCTACTGTAGCTCTTACGAAAGAAGCAATGACACTTCAGTGAACCTCCATCAGTTACCAGGATGGAAGTTGCTCACAATCAATCACACGGACTTGGAATAAGGGCTGTGCAGGCACTTGCTTATCAAAAGGTGATTTGTTCCAACTGCAACAGCAGTACTGCTTCAAACTCTGCTCCTTTAACAACAGAACAGACAGTACAGAGTACCTATTTCCAAGGGATACATCATCTGCATGCTCATTTCTCTGCAAACTCGTATTGACAGAGCACCAGACTGTCTTAGCATCACTCCAATCAACTATGTTCGATTTTCATTCCTAATTCCTTTTGTTGTTTCACTTCTCCCTGCCACCTTCTTTCCTCATGGCTGAGTCCAATCTGCTGATGATTTCAACTCAGATTCTGTAAGGAATGGAAACAATCCTCCATCCACACAGGCTCTCACCTCTACAATCCCTCTTTTTTTTGGTCTTAACAATGCCAGATGTGTCATTTTCCCTGTCTCTGGGAAGTCTTTAAGTCCCTGCCACAAACATGCACTCCCATTCGCCCTGCCATCAGTTGGCTGCTTCTTTACAACATACAATGCTCCCATCCAGTGTCACAGTCCTGCACCTGGGATGGAGTAACTCCATGCAACAAAAGAGGTCCATGCTGTAGCCCACCAACGAGAAAGCAGCTTTGCAGGAAAGGACTGGGGGTTCTTAAGGACAGCAAGTTGAACACTAGTCAACAGTGTGTCCATGCAGCAAAAAGTCGTCCAAATACTGGCCATATCAGCAAGAGCATAGCTAACCTCTTAAAGCAATTAATTATTCTCCACTATTTGGCACTTATGAGACCACAGCTGGACACTCTGTCCAGTATTGGGCTACCCTGTTACAATACAGACATTGACAAACAAGCAGGTCCAGTGGAGAGCCGTGAAGATAAGGGGGCTGGAGTGCATGAGGTAAGCTGAACAACAAATCCAGTTGTTTCAGCCTAAGAGAAGGCTGGAGCAAGATGAAGTCTAAGTGCTGTTTTCAGAGGCTTCATGAGAAAATACAGAGAAGAGCCAGACTTTTCCCAGAGGTGCACAGCAATAGGACAAGAAGCAAGGGACACAAGTTGCAGCAAGGGAAATTATTTATATGTTAGGGAAACAGTTTCACAAGGAATCAAAGGAGAAGGAATCTTTTATATCCTGATTTGAAGGAATCTACTGCTACCCAGGCTGAAGCAAACACAGGGGCAACACATACTGAAAACAAGTTCCTTCACAAGAGGAAGCTGAACACTGGTATTTGCCAAAAAAATAGTTTATTTTTTACCATGGTAAAAGAGTCTGGTGTAAACATATGTGGATTATTGTAAGACTACAATACACAGTGGCACATATAGCAGACAAGCCATGAAAGCAAATGGTATCTTGCATCTGACATGTAGTAGTTAATATTCACAGCTCTCAGTATAGTGACACACCATAGTACACCTTGTGAAAGTGTGTTTCATGCAGATCATCACTGAAAGATTCACCATGTCTCCATAATCAGACACTTCTGGTCATGGTCTTTTTGCAAACAGCAACTGTGGCTGTCGTCAAGCAAGCTTTCTTTATAGAGAGTTAGTCAAGCAGAATACAGACTTTCCACTCACAGTTGTAAGTGAATGACAGGAAACATGTTCTTTTTCTGTTATCTTATGATCCATGTAACCCTCATTAAACACCAGGATTTAGTAAATAAGAATTAATGGTGCTCTGTGATAAAGGTGAAGTCACTTTGCACTTTCGATTACCTATCACATCTGCAAACAACGGAGTTTCTGTAATGAAAGGAAACTGGAGAGCATAAAATGACCATTAGGAAACTTTCCGTCCATAACTGAGTGTTGGCTGCTGGCAATTGTTTCGTGGGAGACACCCTAAACAAGTGAAGAGCATTGGAAAAAATGAAACTTTAATTTGTTTCAGATGCAAGACCCAAATTCTTCCCCCTGCCTTATTTCAGGGAGGAGACTTGCAAGAGACATACCAGCCCTGATCCAAAAGCGAGACTTGTGTATTACTCAAAGCAGGCATTTTAAATGTCATACAGAGGAAATGACTTCTCATACCAGAACAGGAAAACACCGACATTTCAATCTGCCTATTCAAAGGAAATGTAAGAAACATTAATGTTGAATAAGAACACTATTGAAAGAAGCTACAAACACCAAGCCTGACCACTTGGGTTCTCCAAAAAGACACAGCAAAGCCTGCCAGGTCAGCTCTGCTTTGGAATGAAAAGAGAAGATCTGTCTCTAATATAGAAGCACTTCCCAGTAGTCCCCAAAAGAAAACTCATCCTTCAAGCATGAACCAGAACATGCTGGAATATACCAATTAAGCCACATTTTCCATGTATTGAGCCAGCTTGAACTCAATGGAGCTGTCTGCCAGCTTGTACCAACCAATGGCTTGGCTCTCCTGTGTTCCCATTAAGGCACAAAACAGTGTAGCAGCACCACAGCTTATATAGAAGATGCAAAGAAGGATAATGAAGGATGCGTAGAAACAAAAGCAAATCCAGAAAGGATCAAGGAGAGAAGGTGGAAGGCATGACTCTGTGACACAGAGGTGCAAAAATGCAGGTAGTTCCCTAAGGCTTAACTCCAAGGCAATAAAAGTGACAAGTGCTGGCCTTCCATTAGCAACCATAAGGCAGCCATCAGGTTAATCACTACCAGAGTGGGACAAGCCCTCTCCGGTCCTTTACCAGCGCCACAGCAGCACACAGAAAGCACATTGTATGAAAAGCCACACATGGAAAAATGTTATTAGTGCAACACTGACCAGGCTAAAAGGTTGGGATAAAGGTGGCCAGGAGGAAATACCAGCAGAGAAGTCATATGTGTGTATCAACAGTTCAGTGTGTGCTGTGCAGCTGTCTGCACTGAATGAGGAGCTTTACAGAGCAGCAAGCTGCAGAAGTATTTTAACACCATCACTGTTAGAGGACTCCGTTATCAGGCTATTTGGTTTTATAGTCAAAGGTGACTATAAAAGTGTTATACCAAAAAAGGAATACGATAGAGTTTAAGATTAAGTGATATAATCCCAGCATTTAGAGGCAACATAATTTTGAAGTCTGTCATTAATTTTTTCCCCACTGAATCAGGTTCATGTATTCATAATCATTGGTGTATTGACCCTTCAGAGAGGTAATTCTTCTGGCAGTCTGAAGAACCAGGTACAGTTTGCCCTAGTACATTGACAGAAGTCTCTATGTATTTAGCATTTCCATGCCACACAAAACTCTTCCATTACAGTTGAAATTTGGGAACAGTACAGTCAGCCTTTCTTTCAGGTATCCCAGAGCAATTTGTTTCTCTTGGTGTAGTTCAGCCTGCTAGAAGCCTAGACCCTTGAATTGTTAAATATCACCAGTGCTCAAATATAGTGTTATTTTTGTGACAAAGCCGCTTTACGCTGTGTTATTCTAGTGTCAAAAAAAAATGAAATGCTGTTGGAAGACAGAATTTATAGTTATTTGCTGTTTAACAAACCAGAATGCACTGGCATCATCACTGTAGCACTAGAATATTTGCCTGATGAGGTTCCCACAGATAAGGTCTGATCACAGGTTTCAGCATCTTGCTGCTTTAGCTGCTTTGGAGCATTTGTGTGAATATGAACTACAGAGGACTGAGTAGTTTTCGGCAACAAATTGATCTTCCAGAAAATCATAGTCCTGGGCCTTTTAAATTCCATCAAAGCCTTCAAGTTTGGAGGAGACTTGTGCACACGTCCCATGCAAGAAATCATGTTTCTGTATTTTCAAGTGCAGCAATATAACTGTTAAACTCTGGCTCTCAAGTTTGAAAAGTTTAACCCAAGGCTTTCAAAAATGCTGTTTGATCTTTGATGAATGGTGATATGCTGTGGGACAGGAAGGCTTTTTTTCATAATGATTTTCCTGAAGAGCAAATCAAGCCTCCGTGACGATCAGAGAGCTGTTTCCAGCGCAGGCGACTGCTGGCTTTGTGCGGTATTAGAAGGGTTAAGGAGCCATCTGCTGGCAGCTCCCACAAATTGTTGAATGCAGCAAAGCTAATAAAATTTCAATTAGAAATTAATTATGTACAGTGCATTTAATTATCCATGGATTCAAACTGTCCATGGATAATTCAAATGAAGCACTTTCACGAGGGATATACAGTCTGCTACGTATCTGCCAACAATTTAAATTAGATGCCGATGGATTCTGGGTGTCTGATCTGTCTTTAAGAAAAGGAAACAGCTGGGCCCAAACACAATGTGTTGAATTTGGTCATCTTGATATGTGTCAACACCAGAAAAATATATGCAGGCCACTTCATACATTTAGATCATTGCCTTAAAACAGAGAGCATAGGAATGTATCTCTTTAAGAAAGAGACAGAACTGAGGTTATTCACTGTATTTCCACTTACTCAGTGGAGAAATAAAAGGCACAAAAAAGATGACAGGTGTGACAACAGTGAGCATTCTTCCTTTAGAATTAAAATGAAAGTATACTCTGATTTAAAACTTAAGGCTCCTTTTTAGAGGTCTGGTAACCACAGAAGTCATCTCTCAGCCAAATGGGGAAGGATCTGCACCTCTCTGACTGTGGTGGCCCCACTGAAAGGACAACATGGTTGCCTTTGAAGTATACCAGCAGGGTTCAACCATCGCCAACAGCTTTTATAGCCTCTGTAACCTCCCCCACCCTTATTCCCCTTGTCACATCACACTGCAGCATCAGACACACAGGTATAGAGAATATGTTGCAGAACAGCTACGCAGCTCCCCAGACGTCATACAGCTGCATTACCTGTGCAGAGCAAAAATACCAGAAGGGGACTGTTCTCCTTAGGAAGCAAAGGCACAGCACCTTTATGAATTAGCATTAGCACATGCATTAGCAGAGAAGTAACCCTTGTCAGCAGCTGAAACATTAACAAGGTTGTAAACACGAGCAAAGTGCGGCACCACAATAACAACAGATCCCACAGTGACAGAGCCTATTGGGGTGGTAATGCATGCACGCACGCACAGTCTGTAAACTTGAGTAGACAGCGTGCGACCAGCCCAAATTTCACTCGGGGGAAAGGCAGGCTTCAAGGGGAACAGTTTCCCAGTGCCTCATCTCCTTCCTGACATCCTCTCCAGGCACACATAGAGTGGGAGTGAAAAGTGGTTGTGATCTTGGGTTTCAGAAGGTAAAAGTCACCATCAGAAACATCAGAAAGCCCCAGCTGATAATCCATCCATTAGTGGTGCCAAGTTCAGTAAGGGTCTCTGAGTCAGAGTTTCCACACGTCACAGTAGATTTCATAGTGGGTGAACGAAATGCAAACAGTCCGTTAAGAAGCTGTAGGTTTCTTTTAGCAACTCAACTACACCTGTATTTTTCTTTCCAAGTCTTAATTTTACAAAGAATGTCAGTTATCCCATCTATGCTGTTTGATCATGCTACCACATTACACTGCTTTCATCACTTGTCTCCAAGCCTGTTTACAGACATCCAGGAGCTAACTGAATTCACCTGCAAGTGTGAATCAGTAGGACTGACTTGCATTTTCCTGCAGGTGTCTGAGCCCTTGACTAGCAGGATACTCAGCAGAAAATCCCCGAGTGAGGCTGCTGCACAGCTCATTTCAATGAAAGCCACAAGCCTGCCCTCTCAAATGTACCTTGCAGACTGTGTGCGGGCTTATGGAAGATACCAAACATACCTCTGAAAATAGATAAATAGGAGATAGATAAAAAACATCTGGCCTTAAAGTGGCGGGTATTATTGCTGTACAATTATAATTTGTCATTTGATTCCAGCTTGCATACTCAATGCACTGCTGGACTGAGAAGTTACCCCTTAAGTTGTAAACATTCACAAAATTGCATAGGTCCGCACATCAGTTTCTGCAGGATTTTCATACTATCTTTCATGATACAATGTTTTTATTTTTTAAATCTTCATTATTAATGCTAAATATTTAAGTTCCTGCCTTCCAACAAAGGAAAAAGCTCATTTTTCCTCAATTAAGCCATTCTGAACTTGGAGGTACCACTTGACATAGTCTAGGACTGACAAGTTACCACAAATAAAGTGTCACATGCCAAAGACAGCATTGTTTCCACTTCGCCCCATCAGCAGGACAGCAGAGCAAACAAGTTTAATAGCTGTCATCTACTATTCTTTTCCCCTATCTTCAATCCATTTTTACTGTACAACACACATATGCTTGGTGCTTTTGAAATGTGTCCATAAAAATGAACTGCAATGGTTTGAAGAAAGGTGTTCATGACTTAATTCTTCCTGCACTGGCTGTCAGTCAGACACTGAACTTATGATGTATACAACCTATCGATTTTGTAAGCTTCCTTTCTGAAAGCGGCAGTTTGAACTGGGGGGGTAGCAGGACAGAAGAATGCTGTCTCTTTCTCTTTGCCGATTGACTCCTCGAGCCATCACTTCTGTTGCTGAGCAAACAAGCACAGCTCTGAGAGCCACTGGAAAGTGATTAAAATTTGGCAGCAGAATGTCTAAACCACTGGCGTTTCTATAGCAATAGGGAGAGTGCAAGATGTGAAAAAGCCTGTAGCATTGCTGCCATCCTGCTGTGAACCAGAGGTATAGTGCCTCTGACTTCGGAGCCGGAAAGCCCATTTGTATAGGACACCCCCTCTTTCTTCAAATTTAACAAGTTCCATTTTAATTCTTGGGCTAGCTGCAAATTAAACACTATTTTGTAAGCCAGAAGATTGCATATCAGCCTATTTCACTTAAAGATTAGTACCTTTGTTTCTCGTGCAATAGCCACATCTTGCCTGTCTCCCTGTCTCTGTTGCCCTCAGAAAACCAGGGAGGGATCCTATGTGCAGGGCAGCCAGTCTGAAGCTGCTGGTGGTCTATAGTTTGCCATTGAACTCCATGTCTAGGCTTCCTTTTGCAGAACTGCAACTGAATTTGGATTGAGAAATGCAACATAAGCATAGCAGTCAAAATGATCCAATTTGGGTTAGGTTCTTATTGTTAGATTCTTAACTAGAAGCTGTTTCATTTGGCAAGACTGCTGAGCAGAGCCAGTGCTATCCATGAGTACTGAACATTTCTGGAAAAAAATAAACCAGGCTAATTTTAGCTGCTGAAATATGGATTCAAAAGCTACTATATATAAGCTATAAGCACCCAGGTATGAAACTGTAGCCATTTTAATCAACTTCTTGCCTTCTCTCCCCCATTTTCTCTCAGGTGGCTAAGCATTTGCAGCCTTCAGTCGTGTGGATTGGAGACACAGAAAAAATATTTTCTAAAGCCGTGCTGAAAGCTGAAGAAGAGGTGAGTTGCTCCTTTTTTATTCCAGTGCAGATAATTTCTCCTGTTGCATTACAGCCAACACAAAAGGACAAGTATATTTCTTAGCTTAGCACATACCAATATGACCAGACCTGCCAAAGCTTGCTTGATAATAGCTTGTCTCACTAACATTTTTTTCTTTTAAGAGAATCTTGTGACTTCTTAAGAGCCCCCAAGAGGTCACATTTCTCTCCTATACACCTATACTTGCTTTATTTAAAAGTAGTCCAGTCACTGCTCATCAGTGCACTGAAAAGTAGAAGAGAATAATGGAGTATTTCAAAATATGAAGCAAGAAACTAAAAGTTAAGATGAGCTTAAAATTGTTCAGCTCTATTAATTTGAGAAATTGGATGGAGCCAAAGTGAGCAATAAAGTAACAAGGATAAATTTCCACTGTGCAAACAAAGAGCCTATGTTAAATAGTTATGTTTACAGATTATTTTCTTTGGGCTTCCAGGAGTCCTATTGCCATTGCCTCCATTCCTTCCTCCCTTGTGCAGCTTCCCCACTAGAAAGAAAATTAAAACACTGCCCAATTGGCAGAGCAACTCAACCACCACAGCAGATAGCAATTCACCTGAAATCCTGATTAGATTCATGCTGCTTGCAAAATATTTTACTTTTAGAGCTCCGTGTGAAAAATTGAACCTTTTTTCTTAAGGTGAGATCTGTGCATTTAGACTGTGGGATGGACGCAAGCCTGTATTTTGGAAGGCCAATGAAGCACCACCGTGGATGAGACTGTTCCTTCTGTGAGGGCTGGATGAACAGATGGGTGTGCGGTGGTTGATGCCCTCTAGTGGTCCCCACGCCAAAAGGGAACCTTTCTCTTGGGCTCAAATTTTGACAGCAAGTGCAGATGGGATTAAAATTAAGACTAGGGGCCAAAGATTGCCTCAAGTGATGATCTTCGGTAGCCACCCATGTAGAAAAAATTTCTCATCCTGCCCACCTCAGAGTCGGGGGTATCACCTCTGCTTCTACTATTGCATCCCAAGATCTGCAGGTATTTAACAAATACCTGTGTTCTTGGAGGGAGTGGACAGCTTCAGGCTTGAAGTCACTCACATCCAAGATAGTTCACAGCATAACCAATATTTGGAGCCAGAGAGCATGAAACAGGAGGGACAGGCATTGGTAACTGGCTGTCTGGGGAGCCTTCCACTGGAATTTTGGAGAAGATCAGCCCTCAGAAGCCAAAGTGAGTGAAAGTCGCTTTGCACATCCCAGTGTGACATTTCTGGCACCATGACTGAGAGCCTCGTACAAAGAAGCCTTAAATTCTTCAAATATCCACTAGAAAAGTAGTCTCTCTCCAGTCTTCCCCAAAGGATGCAAAGCAGTCAAATAGCAAATATGTTATGGTAAATCCAGTTGCCAAGGATGATGTGCAAGCAGTTCAGCCACTCATAGTTAAACAAATAGGGGTCACCTTCACAATTCACCTCACTTTTCTCCAGCTCGGGTCCACATGATGGCTGAAATCATAGCTTGCCTCTTCAACAGCTCTTCTTGCTACTGACACATTTATTTCAAAGTGGAGGAGATATTATTAGCTTTCAGGACATAGCCCTGAAATGTATGTGCTATGGACACACATTAGTTTCACAGGCATAACAGGAGCTGCTGACACATAAATGCCAGTCTGGCTTAGCAGGCTTAACATGAGTTGAGTGTTTAGCTTGGTCTCTAATACTGGGTCAATCATTTAAAATGTTAAAATTAAGATTCCTACAAACTAAGCAACGAACACTTTTGTAACCAACTCTAGATCAGTGGGAATCCGTGAATATCATTTGTCAGCCAAAAAATTATATTCTAAGTGCCAGGGATAAATTAGGATTTATTTTTACGAGTGAGAGGTGAAATAGGAGTCAGACAGTTGTTTTAAAAGTTCTCTGCATCTCCTGACAGAGTCAGTTTTTCCAGTTTTTCCACGCCATGCCTCACTTGAAGCAACTGTTATGTTCTATCAGTCATTTCAGTGAGATGGGATTCCTCTAACCCCCCCCAGCCTAAAATAATTTGATAATTCTGTTTTCTAGTAATATTGATGTTCTCCAAGGTGTTTCGAGACGTTTGTACTTCCTTCCCATACACACAAAGAGGAGGAAAGATTGAAGCCTATGAGTAGCAACAGTTATATAAATCACAGAGAGTAGTTTAGCCAGCATAAAACATGTTAAAAACAAAGTAAATCCACACTTCGGTCATTGCTGTGACCAGATCTCCCTGGCAGAGCAAAGGTGGCAAGGCTGGCTAAAACTTCCAAGGTAGATATCTAACAGCAGCTTGTTTAATCATCAGAGAAGCCAAGTTCATTACCAAAATCTTCCCAACAAGGGAATGGCAAAGTTTGGACAAGAGCTTGTGATTTAAAGTCATGTCCTCAGACAACAAACATACTGTTTGGTGTAGACAGACTGACATCCTTTCTTTCTGAGCAAGAGAAAAGTCAAGACTTCTTTGCTCCAGGGCAGACCTACTGTGCTTACAAGGCACTTTCTTTGGGAGGGAGTGCAGGCACCCTGCTCTCCTGGGAGCGTTTAGGCACCACAAGGAGGAGATGAAAAGATGGCAGCTGGCGTTGAATGACAGCCACAGGAATAGTTCATACAAGAGCAAAAACATGAGCTGGATGTATCATCCTGGCAAGCAACATGTCCATGCTCTAAAGTGGAACCTAAGTCCTAGTGCTAAGACAAGCTCAACTTATCGTGATTAAGCAATTGGCAAACTTAGGAAGATGCATACTATGACCATGAGAATAAAAAGAATGAGAAGACAGACCTATTGTAATTAAGACAAGTTTAGCTAGAAAATAGCTGTGTGACTCTCCCTGAAGACTTTTGGGATTTCTTATTGATTTCCCAATTTCCCTCCTCTGTAGCTTTCACTCCAAAGAACAGAGCTTTGTCTCCTTTTTGTCAGCTGTCTGCTACTGCAGACAACAGAAAAATCGGATCACAAAGACTGAACATGTAGTGTAGGTTCACAGGTATTTATTATTGCCTTTCAACTGAAAAGGTTCGCAGGACATAATTTCTTCCTTATTGACATTAAGGAAGGCTGATCTGAAATTGAAGCTCAACTTTCTCAGGGAGCTACTTACTATGTAGTTTAAAAAAAAAATAAAAAAAAAAATCACAAGGTGGTCTAGAGAGTGAAGTTTTCAAGTGAGTGTTGATGACTTGGATGTTAAGTCTCAATCATTTCCAAAAAGAGGCTTCCAAGTCATTAGACTTCTGGTACGGGATCCTAACCCAGCTATTCACATATACCTTAACAGTACAGTGACACCACTGCAATTTGATTAAGCTTCTCCAACCAATAATCATGGAACAATAATCACTTGAACATTATCAGACATAACTATCCAATAACAGGTTTTGCTTGAGACTCATATTTATTCTAAAGTCAAACAGTAAATTTTTGCAAAGAAATGAATCCTGAGTTCAAAAAGCTGTGTTCTCAGGTTAGAGCCTCAGCACACTGGAAATCATAGCAAAAATTAGGGAGTGTATTTTTCACATTTAAACCATGGGTAGGAGTTGGTAGATCATAACCTCTGAGACCTGGGAGGATTCCATACCAGGTTACATGCCCCAGTTATTTTTCTATCTGCTAAGGTTTATCAGGTACACAGGTCCAAGCAATAATTCTCCTTAAACTGGAAATCAGGATTTCCTTCTTTAAATGAGTTGTTTCCTTCCAGCTTTTTAATAACAGGACCAGCAAATTCAATAGTGAAAGGCACTAGCACAAACCCACAAATACATAAGCAGAAATCAAGCGTTTACCTGACTTTCAGGAGAGAGAGGCTTTCTACTTAGGTTGAGCATCTAGTCTGCTTGTGCTAAATGTGTTCACAATTTGTGTTTTAATTTTACTACTAAAAAAAAAAAAGCACAAAATTCTCTTGTATACAGAATATCTACATACAGCTTCACCTCGTTAACGCTAAACTGTCAGCATCGATAACAACTCTTTCCTCCTTGTATTTACATGTACACAATGAAGATGAACCCGAAACGGCTAGAAAAGATCCTCCCCAAATTCCTTAAGGCTTTGAAAGCACAGGACAGAGTGCTGCTAGTGGGAACCACCAGGCGTCCCTTCGATGCTAATCTTAAACCTTTCTGCAAAGTCTACCAAAAAATTATTCTGATTCCCAGGCCTGACTACGCTTCAAGATTTGGCAAGTATTTCAAGCGATTCTGTTGATTGCTACTGTTTAAAATTCATGCTCAGGCATGAATTTTACTGTTTAAAAATCATGCTCTGATTATCCTCAGAATTTACTTTAACCTCAGTATGTATGCCATGTGTGAATTTTCAGTTAATTTCTGTATTGCCTAAATTTTCAATTCCTGAAAGTTTAGTTAATACTGATACAGGCTACCCCAAAGATTGGATAATAAAGTGGAAATTGGGAGAAGGTTTAAGATACTGTTCTGTAGTGATTAGCATTTCTTCATGAGTTGTTTAGCATGCACTGAGTTCATCCCAAGGTGTTTTTTCCCTGTAGAAAGCATAAGATCCTATTTCAATAAACACTTTCTATTTTAAGCTTTTCTTTTTGCACAAGGACCCTGAATTTCTGCTCTTCCTATCCAGATTCAATACTCTAAACAGTACACTTCAGGCATCTCCATAAGCAGAACCATGTCTGGAGGATGGAGTTTTGTCACTATCTAATTCCATTTTTGTCTTACAGATCATGAGAGAAATTGTAGTAGCATCCACGATTTTGCATGTCTAGTCTATCAAGTGGTGATAGATATGCCCTTCCAAAGTCTGACAAATTCATTGAGGACCCCATATGCTGAGAGTCAAAGCTTGTAACAAAAAAAAAAATCTATCTTTTATTAGCTCAACTTACACAGGTAGAAAAAAGACAAACTTCCAGGCATGCAAGTTTGGTTTCAGATTTGAGTCACCTTGAAGTCTGCAGTAGCTCAGCATTGACTCGAAAGAAATGCTCCAAAATAAGCTTAATAATGTGAATCAATTACTGCAGAAAAATGGTAGTTTGTCCAAATCCTTCAGAAGTGGATGGTAGAAGGGCTTCTGTTCCCTGAACTGTATTTTTTCCTATGTTTTAATCACAGATATTGTGTGGTTTAGTACACTTTTCGGGGTACTAAGGAGTCTGGATGTGGTGACTGGTAAACAGAAGGGCTGTTTAGGTTCAGTCTAAAGATAATGTGGAAAAAAGGTTTCTGGCTATTCAGAATGGTACCAAACACCACGTTAGGACTCTTAATGGTGCGCTGCTCCTACCAGCAGCTCCTAGCATGAATGTCCCTATTGATCACCACATCAAGGAAAGCAGATTCCCTTCATGCCACTGATTTCTGATGGATCATGTCCCAGCAGATTACAGAAGAGAAACCACACTCAGTTCAGACACCTCACTACAATTGTACCCTTAATACAACATTTCTCTGCATAGTCACCTTATTACAAAATCATACAACTATATTGTGAAGTCCGGTGCCTTTCATGGAGGCAGCCAAGGTACTGAGATGATGCATGTTTGGGCAGGCTCAGACAGGTTTTGACTGCCTAGCACATTGTAAATCTCTCCCACATTCAATAATTCTCATAGTGTGGATGGGAAATGGTCTCTAAGCAAGCTAACATGTGTTTCACGTTATGTTACAGCTCTGATAAATTGCTAACAGATAAAGGACATGAATAAGACCTAGAGTAAGGAGGCAATAGCAGCTGAATTTAGCTGTGTTCACTTCTGGGGATTGAACTGTCACATTCTGGGATTCTCAACACTAATTTGGAGTCAAAAACAAAGGGCCAGCTAACGAGATTTCAACTGCAAAATTAAGAATGCCCCAAAAAGTTAACTCTTGACATTTTAAAGCAGATTAAACTTGTAGCTTTACTTCTTTGACATTGTCCCATTTAAGACAGTGCCTGGTTTGTTCTTTAGCTCCAGTCTTCCCTGAAGTTCAATGGAAATATCATCATTACAGTACAGAGCACACACCTTCCAATCTTGACAATTTTCGGTGCCTGACACCTGATTTGAGAACTAAAGATACTTGTTTTGACAGAAAAGCCACGACATAACCAATATTCATAGCCACAGTGCACAACTGTGTCTGGTTGTCTGCTGCAGCCCTCCCCTTTGTTACAAACCAGAATATTCCGATCTATGCACAATGGAAATAGTAAATATACAGTGTAAATCATTGAACTGGAAGATTCACAATCCTATACTGGTTTCTTGCTATTAATCACCCAGCAAGTCAGTACCTCATATTACACATGAACCTACCTGTAACAGAAGCTGTGGCGCACAATACATGGCTGCACAGAAGTAGCACTTACTGTTGTCTGCATCAATTCCTCTTTTATGAATTAGTGATTTAGCCAGTAATTATTGAGCATAGATACAATTCAAGTGAAAGATCACAATTTGCCTGAGAAATGTAGTACAAAGTTGTCAATAGTTATGGGCACAAGTCCATAGTATCGACATTGCAATCGAAGGAAGAATAAGGCAGGTTTTTGCCATTATGTGACTGCCCCAACATCCAGTACCATTAACTTTTCACCCACTTTTTTCATACTACATATGAGCATTCAAACACATGATACTCAAATCACAAATTGTCTGTCTCATTCAAGAATCTTTTTAATCTCTATGCATAATACTTATTTTTTGCAAATGTTTTCATATAAGTCTTTAAAGGAAAGTATGGTGAGATGGCATCAAAGTTTTACTAAGTTTCTCTGAGACAGCCTGTTGCTTTACATAGGATAAAACAAAAGATGTTATTAGTCCTATTAATTTGTTTTTGGAAGCAGAATCTCAGGCACTTCACAAACATTAAGAAAACCTTCACGTCACAGAGGTTCACAGCTAAAAGATACAAACAGGTTCACCATTTAACTAACAAGCAAAATGCCAATCACAGAAATTTACACCTGGCCTTTGCAACATGTGCCTGCATAGCTGGAAGCTTTTGGCTTCCAAACCAGACATTGAGTCCCAATAGTAGCACTCACATCAGCAGGAGTAAACTATGGTCAGGGTCACGGAAATAAAAAGAAGCTGTTAATATAGGTACTTAACTCTACACACACAAATGGGAATATTCTGGACAAGTTCTCTTTCTGTGTATACACACAGGCATATTTAAGTAGTTCTCTCCATTTTTACACACATATCCACCTCACATTATGTGTCCTTAATGACTTTCTGAAAAGTACTGACTGGTAGCCAACAAACGATCACTAATGGTTTAAGAACGGATGTACCTAAAGGCCTCTATGCTACAAATCTGTAGATGAAAGAAACAGCAAACTAGAAAAATTTGAATCTTGGCTTTACTGACTGATATCCCTTATTTTCCTGTTTCTATTTCAAAATGCAAAAAATATTTCTCCTGCTTTCCTTAATGTATGCCTTTGGCATTCTCTCTTTTTCTGGGTCCTAATGAACAGTGCTATGGAAACACATCATCCTGCAGAATGGTGGAGCAATCACCAACTTGCTGAACATAAGCTGCCTAGCAAAGGTGTCTGATGGTTTCACCCAGGGACATATCGTCCAGGCGGTGCAAGCTGTCCTGAGCGAGCTACGCCTCCTGCAGATGACCAGGAAGCCACTGAGGACTGCTGAGTTCATGACTTCACTGGCCAGGCAGGACCCAGTGTACAAAGAGGAGGAAGAAACATTTAAGGTGACATTAAGAGCTATGTTAACTGGCTGTCTTTCATTGTCCCTTGCCATGTCCTTGTCCAGGCACATTTGATCTAGAGACCTGCTAATTCTGTTGATGGGTTGGCACATCACTATTTGAGTGATGATGTATGGCTCAACAGCACCAAACACCCATCTCCCCCATTTTGGGATGTTTGGCAGCCTGGGCTGCTGGACGTGCCAGGCCAATGGTCATTATTACAGGCAGCCACTCTGCATGGGCAACACGCTTGACATACTGCTTTGCTGAACCTACTGCCTGCACCCAGCTCATCTTAAACAGGGTGGCCTTGACATGCACAGATAAATTATGCGGGTGGCCTTGACTTGCACAGATAAATTACGCAGGTGGTATTAGTACAATGCATTTGTCCTTTTTCTTTCAGAGCTGACATGTTCAGCAAGCCTGGCTATGTTATCTTGAGGAGGCAAAAAACCTGGACATGCAGGGTCTGCACGGTGTTCCACATAGGGATCAAGTTCTAAGTCCTTATTTTAAATTATTTCAAACAAGGATTTTCTTATAAGAGTTTTCATTTCAGGGTTTGAAAAAGTGAGTTTCTGCCTCAAACTCCATCCCTCTCCCCACCCTCAGGGCTATAAAATCCTGAAGGTAAAACCTCATGCATTTGAGGTGCATTACATATACCTCAAATATACATGGATCACCCTGCAACAACTACTTTTTCCAAATGTAGATCAATAATAATTGCTCTTTCTTTTCCTAGACTAGGATTATCTTTATGTAGTGGTTAATTCTGCTTTCCATGTATTCCTTTTGGCATTGATGGGAACAGGTCTACAATCTATTTGCTGTTGTGACTTCAGTGTAGCTTAGGGACAGCTGAACTGGACTTGAACTAGTTAGTTGAGTGCAACACTACAGCTTAGCAGCACTAACACCCCAGAAAATTGCCACGACACTTGACTAAGGCATTTCAAGCCTACTAAACACTAGTAAAAGCCTTGGCCACAGAACAGGAAAACCCCGCTGTGTACCAAGGAGCTGCAGGCAGCCCATACCAGGGCCTCCAAATGGGATAGGACTTCTGTACTGAAGCCAAGAGCCCCCAAAAGAGCTTTCTCAGCCCCATACTCCTCCAACTTCTACCCTGACCCGCTTATAAACCATCCAGTTCTCCTGGCTGAAAGGTTTCCTTTTCATTCTGCTCTTTGAATCCCCACAGTGCCTTGCACAATAAACAGGATGCAGTTTCTAACAACTTTGTCCAAGTCTTCTTCCACTGCTAACCTAATGATAGTGCATATTTCTCCCAGCCCTGTTGAATACTTTCCAATTTCCATTTACAGCCATTTGGCTCACTCAACGTAGGCAGCATTTGTGATATTTGGCAAATTACTCTTTTTTCCTCATGCTTCCTATCTAAACCAATATCTTTCCTCAGGGAAAGGTTAATGGTTCAGTGTTGCAGCAAAGAAAAAAAAAAACCTATCATTCCCAGCTCCAAGTAGTAATCCATTTGTACCCTGAAAGATGAGAGCTAGTATTTAGTGTTAGTTTAACTTGAAAATATTATTCCACTTACTATATATGGGCCTGTTTTGTACAGCAAAGTATGCAGACAGCACTTCATTTTGAACACACCTAGAATGATACTGTCCTCAGCATCCCATGGCAATCATTTTCTTGCATTAATTACAGCCCTTAAGAAAGTATTTCCTTTTAAATAAAATTTCTTTGTTTCCCTTAAATGTCATGGAACCTTGCCCCAGCACCTGTAATATGGCACAGGGGAAGAGGATTGTCAAAACGGCCTTGTGCATTAATTGACTGCAGTATCTCCGTCTCTTGTCACACAGAAGCACCTCTTCCTGAGCCTCTAATCATTGCCATAGCTGGACCTTTTCTGTTGCTTTGCTTTGTCCTTTTTGAAGTGGGGCGGCTAAAACGCAGTATTCAAAGTGAAGATTATCACTGTGATGAATCTTTGATTTCTATTCACTGGAAACATGAATCTCCCTGTTTGACATTTATATTCTGACAGTGTTCCAAAAATGAATATAAATAATGCAAAATTTGTGATAATGTGATTTCTTCATTCAATTTACTCAAATTTCTGCCCCAATTATACATCCACATTTTTGAAATTATAAATTATTGCACCAGTGTGATTGATACAAATCCTTACACCGAAATAATAGTAGTCCTAGAGGAGCAATGGTATTCCAGCTAGCACACTAGTTCTGCCTGGCAGTGACTGGTACAAAATACTTTTAATGTATAAGAAAACCCATACGAAAGACCGTGGGCATGATTCCTCCAACAAGCAAACATTTTAACTCTGATCAGTCACTTGCTGCCAGTAACATACATCCCCAGTGCAGATGCTAATGCGTCGATGATAAATCTACTTTTATTTTTACCATATCTGAGGAGCCGGATTCATTAATCCAGCATAGCAGTTCCGCTAGCTGAAGAGTCAAAAGCAGCCCGTATCACATGCCAACAGGCAGGTTAATTTTGTGCATTGAAATATATACACAAAGAAATGAGAAGGGAACAAGAGAAGACATCAAGTCATTTGGCTCCTCCTGCCACATGCAGGAGTCCTTTATCAGCCACTTGGAGTGGGCAGTGAGGTGACCTCCCGAATCTGTATCTGCCAAACAGCACTTTCCACCCTAACAAGTTCCCAGCAAGCTGTTGGCAGGGTTTTGTTATTCTTTCCATCTCCCACTTAAGGAACATTATCCCCAGGACAACAAACCTTGGGGGGAAAATAGAATTTCTGTGACCTCATGGTCAATCACACATGGAAGGCCAGAGACATTGCTTGGTTGCTCCTGCTGCTGGGGAAGTCAATTCCTCCCTGAGCCAAGAGTCACAACCATCACCTTGTCTTTCTTATCCCACTCATGTGAAGGGCCAGAAACAGCCATCTCCAGACCTCCTGCCCCATCCTGTCCCAGGTGTGTCGGTTCTCCCTGACACAAGAATCGCCTGAGACGATCTTTAGGACAGTGAAATTCAATTGCTCAGGCCGCTGCACTGGGAGCCCAGGGATTCCTCCCAAACACCTCCCATGACACCATCTGGATGTGGATGTGTGAGAGGTAGCATGATGTTTTAATCAGTGGAGTCAGGGTTCTTGGAGGAGGGGTGCTCAGCTAATTCAGGCAATTAGAGCAGAGATCACAGTGTTAGGGCTGCCCAGCAGCCAGCTGGACGTTTGGCAGCTGTCAGACTTCATTTACCTGATGACAGTGTTTAATCTGCAAGACAAGAGTTCCAAATAGGGTGCCTGTCATCAGCCCCTTCCTGGGACCCAGAGGAAGCCTTTAAGAAGCGTGACACCAAGAAGGACCATCTGGGGCCAGGAGAGGAATATCAAGGGTTCTTCTTCCCTATACACTTCCAATACCTCTTCTCCCAACTGCTTCTCTTGCTGCTGCCCGTCTGTAACACACACTGGGAAACTGGACAAGGCAAATTCCTAAGGGTAGCCTTACCAGGCTCAAGCTGGAGGCAGCATTTTGCATGGATCATATGGAAAAGGCAGACTTACAGGGTACTGCATTGGTAGGAAGGTTGAAGATGACTGGGGACCAAGTGAAGGGCAGAGGAGACACAGTTGTGGCATTAATTAGTGGTCTGTGGTCAGAGGAAAGACATTCATTCCTGGGGCAGTGCATGGATGAATACAGTCAAGAAGGAAGGCATTTTATCAATCATGTCAACACCTAGTGGCATTTTAATCTCTGGTGTAGGCAGGACTTTGTTGATAAAGGTTCCTGCACGTACATATGGGGAAAGACTAATTCCTACACACTACTAACTTTACAGCATTGCCTTCTCCTTCACTTCACATTATTTTCACATGGCCTAGAACTGCCTTGTTGACATTGCAGTCCAGGAGCTTGGCAAGTTTGCAGAGCAACTATACAAAAATCATTTACAAGTCACAGGACTGTGAACAGGCATCTGAAAGCAATAAACAGGTTTTTAACGTTCAGGGTTTGTTTTGCTTCTTAAGCTCTCTCATTGAAATAAAAACTGTCTGGATTGATTTGCAGAGCCATGAGAAGTGCATGCTTTGTCTATTGCCAAGTTTCAGACCAGAGGGAGTTTTGACAAGAGCTATATACCTCGGAAATGGGGTTGATCATAGAAGTTCTAACATTTCCATAACTATAGCAACACAAATGGCCCAGCTAAGTATTCCTGTTAATGAGACACACTTCAAGCAAGCAATCGCTATACTTCTTGTTATAGTAATGTTCTCAAGAGATCTGAGGGTTTCATTTCTGCTTCTCCACAACCCAGCCAGGATTTTAGGAATTTTATTTTTTTTTTTTAAGGAATTCTCCATTGTACTAGTAAAAAGTTTCTTAAGTGTTGTTTTGGTTTTTATTAAGTTTTAATAAAACATACACATGCTTTTTGATTCTCCAGGCTTGGTATGCCAAGACACCACTGGGTAAAGCACGAATCAGAGCACTGGCAGACAGTGAGAAAGCAGGAAAAGGAAAAACAAAAGAAGGAAATAAAGGAAAAAGGAAAAACTAGCTTCCTCGAGAATTTTGCATCTGGCAATATCAGTCACAGTTCTACTTCACCGGAAAGGGGGAGATGCTAGGAAAGCAGACACTTCAGAAAAATGCACCCCAAGTTACAGCTATTTCAGGAAAGAGAATTCCTTTCTGAATGAATTTTAAAAAGTTAAAGAGTCAGATGAGACATCCATGTGACATGTAGCTCTCAGAGGATAAAGAGTTAATGACCACTGACTTGCTCAAGCATTATTTATTCTATGAGGTTTTAGGGGGCAGAGAGGTTCATTACTCAGGACTGTAACATGCCATCAACTTTTAGGCTATACTCATTTATTTCAGCAAGTAACTCTCCTTAAAAATTGATGTCACATTAATGTCTTTCATTACTTTAATATCCTATATGCTTTATAAAACTAACTGCTTTATATATCTGTAAGTCTAATGTGTTACAGTTCTCAATAAAACTATTACAGCTATAAAGACTGCTTTTTAATTGGGATGGATTATAAGACACTTAATGCAATCTACCACAAGCTGAATATTTACATAGCCACATGAGGACCAGCACTGTTTCGCCTTTTGATGCCTTATCATGGACAAATTCATATACGTGGACGTTAGCAGAAACCATCAATAAGCAGAATCAAAAGCAAAGTGGTCAGGTGGAGTTCATTTTGGTGGATGCCCTAACAATCTATTTTGCAACAGGAAACAATGCTCAATTACCTGGTTTGCACAAACAGCAATATATCTGTTGCTTAAAAAAAAACCCACGTCTGTGGCAGAACAGCAGCTGTAATGGCATTCTGAAGTAGGTCTGTTGAGCTTTCTAATAGGTTGCTTCATGCTGTGTTAAACCAAATTCACCTAGACCTGCTTCCACTTCTTCCAAACCCAGTCCTGCAAATTCTGTTTGCGTAACCCACCCATAGGTGAAAGTCTGCCTCATCACATCCAGACCCCATGCACAAAGGCACGTACGGATGTAGCCTGAGTATCACAGTGGCTATTTATGTGCTCGAGTAGCAAAATGGGAAGCTCTGTGGCGGGAACGTCTTCTGCACAGAAGGACCTGAGACACTTGGAGGCAGAGATTTCCTGGTCTTGTGCTTTTATGTAGTACCTCCTACTCAATAGAGTGCATTAGGCCTAATATCCAAATATCACAAGTAGCAAGTGCAGGGGACTAAACCTTCTGAGAAACACAACGAATCTAGGGGTCCATGATAGCATTTGATAGTGTTTCAGTTGATGGGCAATCTTGTTTACTCACAAATCAGCAGTTTTGGGGGTAAGATATTTAGAAACAGTGGTTAGAAAACCCTAAAGCTTGGGAGCATCCTGCATGATACCTATGGAGCCGGCACCACCTTTATGTCAAGTACAGGATCTCATTCACTGGGGTCTTCTACAAATAAGATCCACAAATACCTGTTTTCACCTCTAACTGCAGCACACCTATGTTGACTGGACAGCAAGTAACTCACAATATCTATTTAACTGGAAATACAAGGCACACCATCCCCAGGGAGTCAAAGGACCTCTCTATACCACCACTATAGACAGGCTGGGAGGTGCAAAGAAGGCTGCATTGCTGTGGGAAGCTGCTCAGGTTTCCTCCAGCACAGACCTGGCCAACCTGCCTTTGGGGGAGGGCAGGCTGAGGACAGCACATCATACCTGCATCGCATACACTCGGCCAGATACTGAGCATAATTCTCGGTCCCAGAGCAACTGCTCACTGCTTATTAAGACCTTATTGATACATCTTCCATGTAAAAGGGATTGATCACATTTTAGACATTTCTGTATCTTTGTACTCTACATCCCAACCCCTTGCTTCCCCTACTAGAACAGAGTAATTTCATCAAAAATATGATGCCGAGGGACTTGTAGAAAATGTGCTCTTACCCGGATGATGAGTATGCGACATGTTTTAGGGCAGAACCTGCAGAAAGACAAAACCCCACCTGAAAAGCTGCTTGAGAAGCTGCTCTAACCAAGCTTGCTGGGAAGGGGATGATATTGACCTTCACCTGCTCCTAACAAGAAATTCACTGGAAAAAGATGCTCCTGGAAACAGAAAAGTCAAAAAAAAAAAAAAAAAAAAGCCCTGAAAGATTCCCACAGGCAACTACCCGCACAGAAAAAAATTCAAGCACTCCTATCATTGAGCGCAACAGAGGGAACTGCATGGCTCTGGTTAATAAAGTGAATTTTCTTCCCAAGGGTAGGATAGGCTGCCATGCTATCACAGCAGATGGGATAGAGCCACCCCGACCCAGGCTTTTTGTGATCCTTTTTGGCGACATTTTGCTGTCTGGTACAGGGTTCCCCTGGATCTCAGCTTTCCAACCTTGAGGCTGCATCTCCAGCCCTGCCAAGGAGATCCAAATGACAGGAGAGGAAGTACTTGCTAGATCTTCTCTGTGCAACACCTCAGGACGTTTCCCGGTGTACTTAAGTCCTTCCCCCAGCCATCCCAGCAGTAATCTGGCTGCTGGAGCCTCATCATGACCCACACAAGGGACCCCATGAGGATGAGCTGCCACTCCCTGGGTTTACACTCTTGCAACAGAGCAGCTACAAACTCTGGCTGTCCTTTCTTTATTCTTTCTTTCCACAGGCTTGCTTGCAGCAGGCTGCTGGCTTCACAAATTTGGCAGCACATCCCAATTAAAAAAGGTACTCTTCAACTCCATCCTCTGTGAAAAGAGCCAGACTCTCCCAAAGAAGTGGCAGGGTTTGTGTTAAAAGCCTTATCACTGCTCTCATCTGCAAGAAAACTAATTTGGATAATTCTGTCCTTAATCTTGCAGACAGTGGAATACTCCTCTCCACAACAGGTTTGACAGCAGAACGTGATGTGATGAAAAGACCGCATTTAGGTTGGACGTAAGCAAGCCCATTAACTAATATTTCAGCAGGTTCAGTGCAATCTCAATAGCAAAGTAACACACTGACTGACAACATCCATCTCCAGGGCACGACTCCAACCCCGTGCAGAGAGGATGCATGAACCTCTCACCGTCCCAGGCTTGGCGGGGGAGAAGCCTGCAGTTTTCTCCAGTATTCACCAGTTTATGGGGAAAAAAAGCACTGGGGCGATTTAACCTCTAAATGTAGCTTGCAATGGTGGCAGCTTTCATTGTAAACCGCTTCTCCCCCCCCTTCTTTTTTTTAATTGTGAGGATCTGGAAGCCACAACTGGTATATCTACAAACAGCTCTGTGGATGTGGGGGGTGACAAAGAGGTGATCATGCAGACCAACTCTGCTCTGCAGAGCTGCCAACCCTCGCTCTCCTTCAGAGTCCTCTTGAGGGGATGGGGAAGGAAAAACAAGGAGCAATTTTAATGCTATTTAATTATTATTACAGAAAGTGTGGTTACTTCAAAATGAAGCTGTTGCATCAAGGAGAGCCAACACACAGTAATTTCGGTGTCAACGGCTGAACTATTCAATTAAGTGGCCCTGGCTGGAGCTACAATGCCTGTCTGACTGTGAGGCTAATAGTGATCTCACAAGGAACATCACTAGAGTTGTTCTTACCAGGCCTGGGTGTAGCATCTCCACACATAGATATTTCACCACAGGAGAAGAGAAAAGAAAAAAAATAATAATAATTGTGGTTTTGCTAAGCCCAACCACAGGGCCATCGTGCTCTACTTTCCAGCCACAGCAATCCCAAAACTTGAGGAGAGAGGAAAGTCCCCTTTGCTACACACTGTCCCCCACTTAGTTTACAGCAAGAGGTGAGTTTTGGGGGATGGTGGAGAGGGGTGCCAGGCTGCTTTGCCTCCTGCTGTGGTGGTGGGAGGCAATCCGGCAGCACCAGCAAAGTTGAGAAAAGAAGCTGTCATGCTCATTTATATATGTAAGTGATCTAGAGAATTATCGGCTAAATTATTTAAATGTCCCATTACTATTAAATTACTGGGCATTCATTGTTAGAACAGTCATAATACAGTAACTAATTTGGTATTAATGTGAATGTCAGCGTTTCATTGCAGTTATTTTGTACTTCATCATAAGATAATTTACCAATAAATTAATTGGCTTAATTGCTTCCTCCAAACCCAGGAGAACTACATATGACGTGACTTTTAAAAAGTGTTCACGCTCGCTCCCCATCTTTCTGCTTTACCCACACCAAGCAGGAACCCCCTTTTGGAGCACTTGGGGAGGAACACCCGAGAAAAAGGGAGCAAAGTGTGACTTCACTCTTCCAGAGGCAATAAAGTCTTGGCATAACCTTGCCACATTTTTGTGCTTTAAATATAGCCCCCGAGGCCATGCTTGGAGCAGGACCCCAGGTTTCAGTGCCAGCTTTGCAGGGTCCTGGGTGGTGAGCAAGGAGCACAGCCCCAGCACTCAGCCTCCAGCCAAGGAAGAACCTGGGAGCCATTCTTACCCACCTCCCTGTCCTACAAATTCCCCGCATCACCTTCACCTCCCCAAAATACCAATAACCCCCAATCCCCATCAACAGCCAAACCAGCTAGAGCAGAGGCTCAAGCTGTAGCAGACAGATCTAATTCAGTTGGAAATAAGCTACTACTAATTTGCCACAAGGCAAAAAAGTGCCATAATCAGGATTTCAGGTCTGTAGTGGACACCCTGCCTCAGATGAGATGCCTACCAATTCTCTATGAACCCTATCAATAAGCCTAAGAAACACAAGCAGGTTACCATAGCACTCGGAATAGGATGAATGAGAAACCAAAACCCGGTGGAGCTTTAAGTCATGAGGCATCACCTCTACGCTGCTCTACAGCGCCCACCCCAGGGAAGACCCCCCCCAGTGTCTTTGCCAACCCCAGGCACCATCCCTGTGGGCACCCATACAGGAGGTGCGTCTACCTCACAGCAGAGAGCTCTCAGGGATGCAGCTGACCGAGAGCAGCCCCGATCCCACCCAGCCGGGCAGGAGGGCTGCATCCTCACAGCGAGGAGGGAGGAAAAACGGCCCTCGCAAGGTAAAAGGCAGCAGCCACCATGAAGTCATGCTTTCTCAATGTGCCTCGGGTATTATTAGGTCCCCGGCTTATGTTAAGCGCTCAGGTTATGCCGCTGTGGCCAAAGCCCTTTAATCAGGCACTGTAACTCCGGTTAGAAGCAGTGCCAGCCCTTGTCTCTGATCCCTGCCAATTTTGCATGAGCTATTTTGCCTTGCTAGCCTGCACAGACTGGTTTAGAGATAGGGTTACTGGGAGTGCTGCTGCCTTCCTGAAAGCTGACTCCTCCAGCACTGGAAATTATTTTTTTTTTTCTTTTTTTTAATAACCTGTGCTGAAGCTCTCCGGCAACCACAGTGAGTCTCCCAGAGCTTCCACCCCCCCATTCCCCAGGAGCTTAGGACAAGTTTATTGCTGTTTGCTTCTCTAGGAGACAGAAAAAAGCTCCATCTAGAGCCCAGTGGGTAAAGACAGCTATTTTTTCCAGTTTCTTATTTTAAATGTTTTTTAATAAATTAACAGGGCTCTTTTGCAAAGTGCTGGGAACAGATTGCACCAGAATCAGCACTTTGGCACATGCTCTTCCACCACCAGGGAGAGACCAGCCCGACTGCAAAATGCTGCTAAATCTTTGTTTAAGGTGATTTACCCTGGTCCTGGGCAGTCTGCATCACACCAGGCTGGCAAACGGTCTGACTCCAGGTGGGAGCAGCCCAAGGGAATACATCTCCTTCCAGCACACCCTGGCCAGAGGCAAGTCCCAACCACACTGCACTTGTTGTAGCTTATTGTTTAAGTTGCCATTGGAATTTAAAAAAAAAAAACAAAAAAAAACCCACACCCAACATTTCTCAGCAAAACCCCCCAAATCTGGTAATACAAAGTGAAGCTGACTGTTCTATTAACTCCCATCCTGCATCAGCAATTTTCTAAAGTGTGGAAACGTTATAATTGACTTTTCTGCTAGTAGCAAAATGTCATTTTTTCTTAATACTTCCTAAGTCAGTAATGCATTTCAAAAGCCTCCAATGCCACTACCACAACAGGACTTACAAATTAGCACATTTTTAGCTTTTCATTAAATACAATACCAAAAAAAAGTCTCATCATATTAGGGTTTCTATCCTCATTATTGAAAGTACTGCGACTTTGGAACTTCGCGCAGCAAATTATAATGCACTCAGCCTGGGTCCATTGTAAATCAGGGCTTCAAAAAAGGTGTCACGTAGTCGGGCCCTCTTTAAGCACTGAAAATATTGGAGTCTATTTGAAAACGCCTTATGTAGTCTCTCACTAGCCTTGCAAATCATCACAGCACTGGGCAGAGCTTCCTTTTATTTTTTGCCTCATGGCATCAAGCCATTTCTATTCCAACCAGAAAAAGAGGATTATTTCTTGCTGGGATTTCAAAAAAAAAAAAAAATCCCTACACCTAAGATAACAAGCTGCATAAAATCCCCAAATCATTTAGGGCTCTTGTTCAGCTTTGCACAGCATCCATGGGGCTGTCCTCTTCAAAGGAGAGGGGGTTTCTCCAGCCGGACCCCCGGCTCACTGCCCTGGGGTGTCCCCAGCCGACGATGCTTTTCACAGTCCACCACTAAAACGCCACCACCACGGTGTAATGAAAGGCACAGTGCCTATGCAGCTCCAGTTAATTCCCGAGCTCCGTGCTGAAAGGCCGCTACCCTGGGAGAACACTGCAGAAGAGGGACCACTTCTTTTGCAGAGCAAACAAGCACCAGCACGTTTTGTGCAGAGTTGCCTCCTACAAAAGCACCAAACACAGCCTTCGTTGGCCTGTGGCATTACAGCCCTCAGCTAGAGTCCCCTTTCTTGGCAGCAGGGGGAAAATAATAGGGGTGGTGCCTGCATGGGAGCAGGGAGAGGCTCGCACCCTACTCCTGGACCCCCCCCAAACCAGGTGCCATCCCAGGGCAGGGCACTGACAGGCTCTGCTCCCACCTGCCCAGCAGCCTTGAGGTCAAAGGATGGGAAATGCAAACTCCATACCCTTTCCCATTTTCCTACTCCTCTGAAAA